ATAATCCACTAGAAGTAAATAACCCATCATGTGTGAATCACTCACCAAAAGTGGATGTATACTTGTAACCTCTCACAAATAGATGAATACTTTCAATACACCAAAAGTATATGAATATCTTAACCTACTAGCTCACCGGAAATGGATAACCCATCAAGAAGTGGATGAATACTTGTAACCTACTAGAAGTAGATAAACAATGAAAAAAAATAAAATGAATATAGAAAACGTATTGTTATTGATGTGGCATGAAAGATCATTGGTCACGTACCTATTGTACGTCTTAAATTTTATCAAATATCACTGAAAAATCTTGTGATAATTTTAATCATAGTCAAGTTGATATAGCACATCAATATATTTGTCCACCCTAAAAGAGAAATTGATTATTTGATTGGTAATAGAAATATCCGAGAATGAACTTAATAGTAATTGGTATATTTAAGATAATTATATTATGAACATGCTTTAATATGTTTTTATTATATTTGAATGATATGTTCTTATTATGTGTTTTAATTCTATGTTTAATATTCTTTTCTGTTAACTTGCAAGTTTCTTATTGTATATATTTTCTTTTATTGAAGAAAATATAGATATTGATCTTGTTGGATCTAAGATTAATAATGTAAATATATGTCTAGCAAACATTGCTACAACACACATTATATTTAAAGACAATAAATATTTTTCCTACTTGACAAAAAAAATCAATATCAGTTGAATATCTGCTAGTACAAGATTAACTGGAAACTCCATAAGAGCTAATATTTTACTACCTTGAGGAATAAAGCAATAGAGGATGTATTATTTTAACTCTCAAAGAAGTTTATTAAATTTTAAAGATATTCTTTTGGATGGATATCATATTGACACAAAGAAAGAAAGAGACACTTAATACCTCTATTATTTTAAGTAGAAAGTGTGTGTTAACAAAAAATTACTTGCTCTGGTCTTAGAATTAAACTATATAAATATTAGAATAATTGAAACTCATAGTAAACCAAAAGTTTACTAATGAATTTAATGTTTGGCATAACCGATTGGACCATCTTGGATCAATAATGATGCAAAAAAAATGATTAAAAATTTATCATTCATTGAAAAATTAGAAGATTTTTCAACTTAATGAATTTTATGTGCTGCTTGCTCTGAAGGTAAATAAATTATAAGGCTATCACCAGCTAAAGTAGGGACTGAATTCTCTACGTATTTGAATAATATTTAATATTATATGTGGATTTATACATTTACCATGTGAACCATTTAGATATTTTACAGTTTTAATCGATGTATCGACAGATGGTCACATGTGTACTTATTATCAGCTTGCAATTTGGCATTTGCAATCATTTGTTTGCAAGCACATCTTCTTAGTTATATAAGCAAGATTATTTGTCTTGACAATGTTGGTGGATTTACATCTTAAGCCTTTAATATTGTATATTAGTTGGAATAACTATTGAACAGCTTGTTGCTTATGTTTATACACAAAATGGTCTAGCAGAATTATTTATTAAACACTTTCAACTAATTGAAAGGCCATTACTTATGAAATTCAAACTCCCAATGTTTGCTTGGGGGTATACAATTTTAGATACAATAGCATTTGTATGCATCAAGCCAAACGAGTTATTATAAATTCTCTTTATACAATTGGTTTATGGTCAGGAATCAAATATTTCCTATCTAAGAATTTTTGGATATGCGGTATATGTTTCAATTGCTCCACCACAACGCATAAAGATGGGTCCTCAAAGTAGGTTAGGAATATATGTTGGATATGAATCTCCATTTGTAATTAAATATTTAAAATTATCAATAGGAGATTTATTCATGACAAAGTTTATCAATTGTCATATTGATGAAATAATTTTTCTAACATTAGGGAGAGAAAAAAATAAGCAGTTGCAAAAAAAAATTTCTTAGAATGAATATCATTATCTAGTTTTGATCCTCGTAAAAATCAATATGAACTTGAAGTTCGAAAGATTATTATTTTACAAAATATAGTAAATCAGTTGCTAGACGTATTTACTGATCTAAAAAAATAACTAAATCTTAAGTACCAGCTACAAATGCTCATATTAGCATTGATGTCCCTATAGGACAAGGCACGCCAAAAGCGTGGAGACCAATAGGTTCTAAAGATAAAATTTTCAAAAAAAAAAAAGGAGCAAATATTTAAGATGGTCAAAAAGAGGAAGTAAAAACTCTAGAAGAGACCCTTGACATAACTGAGAAAAATTTCAAAAGAAATTCAGGTACCTGAAATCATTGAAAGTGAAGAGATCTCAATCAATCATGTCATGACGAAAAAAGATGGAACCGATAAATAAACGTCGACGATATTTTGTATAGAGCTCAATATTATGAAAGAAAAACGAGGATCTTGAACTTCTATTTATTGAAGAATGTAGACAAAGGAATGATTGGCCAATGTGGAAAAATGCAACTAAGGTGAAATTGAATTTAATTGCAAAATGTGAAGTTTTTGGACCTGTAGTCCGTACATAAAATGATGTAAAACTAATAAGATATAAATGGGTATTTATGCGAATATGAAATGAGAAAAATGAGATTATGAGATACAAAGCACGGCTTATCGCACAAGGTTTTCTTTAAAGATCTAGTATTGAAGATGAAGAGATATTCTTTGTGGTGGATGCAATTACAATTCTATATTAATTAGTCTGGCAATATATGAGAAGATTGAAATACGTTTAATGAATATAGCTCTAGCCTATTTATATGGCTCATTTGATATCGATATCTATATGAAAATCCTTGAAGGATGTAAATTGCCTGAAAGCACAAAATTTGAATACTCAAAAAATTTATTTGATCAAATTAAATAAATATGTATATGGATTAAAACAATCCAGACACATTTGGTATAATAGCCTTAGTGCATATTTGTTGAAAGAAGGTTATAAAAATAATCCTATATGCCCATATATATTATAAAAAGGTTTAAATATGAATTTATTATAATTGCTGTCTATGGTGATGACTTGAACATTATTGAAACTCCTGGAGAGTTATTAAAAGCCGTGAATTACTTAAAGAGAGAATTTGAGATGAAAGACCTTGAAAAAATAAAGTTTTATTTTGGGTCTTTAGATTGAACATTTGACAAACAGAATTTTTGTCCATCAATCAAGTTATATCGCAAAATGATAAAATGATTTTATATGAAGAAATCATATCCATTGAGTTCACCAATGATTGTAAAGTCATTGGACGTGAAAAAAGAATTTTTTTCGACTTCATGAAGATAATGAAGAACTTTTTGATCTTGAAGTACCATATCTTATTAGAATTGGAGTACTAATGTATCTTGCTAGCAATGCAAGACTTGATATATGAATTACTATAAATTTATTAGTAAGATATAGTTCTTCTCCAACTCGAAAACATTAAAATTGAATTAAACATATACTTCAATATCTCCGAGGAACAATGGATATGGGCTTATATTATTTAAATGCATCAAAATCGAATTCAATTAGTTATGCAGATGCAGAATATTCATCTGATCCTCACAAAGCTCGATCTTAGACAAATTACTTGTTCACATATGGCGAAATTTTAGCAACTCGTGAGCAAATCGTGAATGTGTCTCGTTAAGATCTGTAACTCGATATATTCGAAAAATGTGTGACTTATCAACTAAGAAGGAAATTCTAACAATGTTATATGAGGATAATACTACTTGCATAGCATAGTTAAAGGAAGAATATATTAAAGGCGATCGAACAAAACACATAGTTCGCCAAAATCTTTCTTCACTCATGATCTCCAAGGAAAATGGTGAAATAAGTGTTCAACAAATTCAGTTAAGTGACAATCTAGCAAATTTGTTCACTAAAGCCTTTTTTACTATAACATTTGAAAAGTTAGAATGCATAATTTTAAAGATCTCTACAATGCAGTCATTATAGGGGGTAAAATACGCATTGTATTCTTTTCCTTCATCAAGGTTTTTCCTACTGGGTTTTTCTTGATAAGGTTTTTAATGAGGCAGTATTTCATAAGCGTATTTTTGAAAAGAATTATGTACTCTTTTTTCTTCACTTGGATTTTTTCCCATGAGGTTTTTTTCTTGTAAGGTTTTAATGTGGCATATTCTTAATACAATGGATATTCAAGGGGAGTGTTATGAATATTTTTGTGAATATCCATTTATGTTATCTATATCTAGATTTGATGTAAATCAGATTAGATTAGGATATAATCCATCTAATCTCTAAGTGTTATCTTCTTTAGTTCATTTGTATACACACTTCAATAAGATTTCTTCTCTCTCCCTAAATACTTTTTTTTCCCTTTAAATACTTTTTCTTATATTTCACTTATAATTGTTCTTTTAGATTTATTTCATAACAATTTGAACTTAATTGGATTTTACCAAAGGCATGTCTGCGGTACAACTTGTTCAAAAGTCAAAACTATGGTTTGTAGTCAAAACTAGCTCAATAGTTCAAATGAATTTAAATTAATATAGTGTATAGAAAAATCATAGTTGTCAATTTTGATCATTATTTTATAATTATTAATTGAAAATTGTAGGAATTTTATTTAGTGAAACGCACTAAATTTCTCCTTGAAAAATAATATAAATAATAAATAACAATGACCCCTTCACTCTCCATTAAGCACATTTGAAAATGACTAAGCTCCGAAGTTTCCACACCCCAAAATTATGCTCAACATTTTGAACTCAATTGGACTAGTAAAGTTGGTATTGTACCGGCGAACAAGGGTTTGAAGCAGAGTAATGTACCGGTGCCAAGCCTGTAAGGCCCCCGTAGCATACCCCTGGCTGCAGATTTCCAGTGGAACCTCCATAATTCAACTTATTAAGTAGGAAAAGCACTTAGCGTAAAAACAGAAGTGTTGTCTCCATAAGTGACAGAAATATAATACAGGCGTAACTCCATAGTAAACTGGGATTTGGTTGGCCATTCCTTTTCCCTCCGCAAACTGTAGCTTGCTTATTACTTCTGATATCCAGTTAGCTTGCTAACGGTTAATCTTTTCAAGTGGCTCACTCACGGAAGCCTGTGTTCTTGCTGATAGTTCCTCTGCCACAAAACGCATGGTGGGTCTTGACTCTGCCCTGGTATTTGTGCACGCTAAGCCCATGGTCACTACAAACACGACTTCCTCTGCTATTTGGCCTGTGGGAGGAGGGAGTCGTTGGTCTAGCAAATCCTTCAACAACACTTCTGTATTTTCTGCTGACAGAGTTGATGATGATTGGGGATTCAAGAGTTCCCCTGGATGCCTTCCCATCATAACCTCCAATGTCACTACACCAAAGCTGTAGACATCACATTTATCTGTGAGCCGCACTGTGAGTGCAAGCTCTAAACATTAGAGAAACAACGTTAGCATTCATATAAAAACCAAGCAAACATAAGAGACAAACCCTTTATGATAGAAGTCGTTGCTAAAATGTAGATATATCAATTCTAAGTGAGGATAAGAGATCAAAATGCAGAAACCAATTGGTAGCTAACCTGGAGCCATGTAGCCAAAGTAACCTGCAACTGATGTCCAATTAGATGAATTTGGATCCAACGATCTTGCAATGCCAAAATCTGAGAGTTTTGGTTCAAGTCCCGTTTCCAGCAAAACGTTACTCGAAGATATGTCTCGGTGAATAATTGGTGGAGAGCAGTCATGGTGCAAGTAAGCAATTGCATGAGCCAGTCCTTTTACAAGTTTCACCCTTGTAGCCCAGCCTAGCTCCACTTCCCCTTCTTTTCCATACAGTACACTTTTCAAACTTCCTCTCTCCATATACTCATAAACTAAGTATATAAGCTCCCTATGAGAACAGAACCCGTATAACTTGATGATATTTCTGTGCCTAACTTCTGTCAGTAGACGAATTTCATTCTCAAAACTCTGGCGATTGGTAACTAGAACACCACTGGAGTCTGATATATTGAGTTTTTTAACCGCAACTATTTGACCTGTGGGCAACCATGCTCTGTAAACACTTCCAAATCCTCCTTTCCCAATGCAATACTTTTCATTGAAATCCTCGGTCGATTTTACAATGTCGCTAAATTTAAAATTTTTTCCTTTAAACCATGTCGACTCAGAACCTTCAAACTCACTACCTTCAGCTTCCCCATCCGGTTGATTTCTTAGGCGATGACGTGCAAAAACTGCAGCAGCAATTAATGCTAATACGCCAAAGGCCGAAAGCACTACACCAACAACCACCTTCACAGTACGCATTCTGGACTTTTTGCTGGTTGAAATTGAATTACAAGGAGGCAATCCTTCGACATTCCCACACAAACCTGAGTTTCCAGCAAAGGCTTCACTGGAGGCATTTTGGAATGGACCACCAGTTGGAATTGGACCTGTCAACTCATTGTAGGAGAAATCAAATGAATGAAGACTTACCATGCCGGGTAATGTTGTTGGGATTTCACCAGAGAGATCGTTATGTGAAACATTAAGATTCTCCAGTGAAACAAGTTTTCCCAACTCTGGAGGGATTTTCCCTGACAATGAATTGCTGCTAAGGTCCAATGAATACTGCAGGAAAATCAAGCTCCCTAGCCCACGTGGAATGGCACCAGATAAATTGTTGTGGCTCATGCTCAGGCTCAATAACTTGTCACAGTACTCGAGCTCTTCTGGTGTTATCCCTGTCAAGCTGTTCTTTGACAAATCTAAATATTGAAGATCTACTAAATTACCTATACTCCGAGGGATTTGTCCTGACAGATGATTTTGACTCAGATTGATGTTAAACAACATTTTTAAATTTCCTAGCTCAGTAGGAATATTCCCAACCAACTCGTTTGAGCTTAGAGTTAGCACCTGCAACCGTGTCAAATTCCCAAGCTCAGCTGGTATTTCACCCGAAATTCGATTCCTATCCATCTGTAGATTGGTAAGGCTTTTACATTCTCCCCATTCTGGAGAGATTTCACCGATGAATTGGTTGTCACTAAGAGTAATATATTCAAGATTTGGATGAACTCCAAATGCATTTGTAATGTCACCGGAAAATCGGTTCCCATCAAGACGAACTCTATTTAGTCCACTACAAGATCTCAAGCAAGCTGGCAACGGCCCTGAGAAGTTGTTGCCATTAACGCTAAAGTATTCAAGAGCAAAGCCACTACATAATTCAGGAGGCAATTCCCCAGAGAAGCTGTTGTTGGAAAAGCTAACATAAGCCAACTGCGGAATATATCTCCCAAAATCCCGAGGAATTCTTCCTGAGAAATTGTTGGTATGCAATGAGAAGCCCTGTAAATTAGTGAGGCGAGAAATGGTCTCTGGCAACTCCCCATATAGTTGGTTTGAGTCAAGGTTAAAAGAGGACAGCGACGTCATATTACCGATCTCTGGTGGAATAGTACCGTTGAGATTATTTTCAAAAAGTTGCAAGAGTTCTAGGTTCTTAAGACCCCATATTGTCGACGGAATTGAACCTGAAAGCTGGTTTGCTGAAAGGCTTAACATTATTAGATTTTCCAAGTTCCCTATCTCGGTGGGAATCAACCCCGATAGCTTGTTGTTAAACAAGAAGAGATAGTTGAGCTTTGTCAATAAGCCAATTTCTGGTGGAATCTTTCCTGTGAAAGAGTTGTATTGGAGTTGCAGTGAGATCAAGTTAGTCCAATTAGTGATGAGAGATGGCAGGATCTGACCGGAAAGAGAATTATTTGACAAACCCAGCTCGGATATTTTGGTGAGTTTGGACAACGACATAGGTAATTCCCCAGTAAGTTGATTATCGGCTAAGGCCAGAAAGGAGAGGTTAGCACAAGAACCAAGCTCAGACGGAATTGTAGAGTTCAAGCCATTCGAGTGAAAATCAAGTATCTGGAGCTTTGATAGTTGTCCTAAAGAAGATGGAACCTTCCCTTCAAATGAATTTTCAAACAATTCCAAAGTTTGAAGATCAGACATGAATCCTATGCTCTCAGGAATCGGGCCCTTTAACTTATTGGTTCCTAGATGGAGCTTTATGAGCTTGGAAAGCTTGGATATGTTTGATGACAATGGTCCTTGGAATGAATTGTTTGTGAGATTGAGATACTGAAGCTGGCCCAGATTGGCAAAAACTGATTCCGGTATTGACCCAGTCAAATGATTCACTGACAAGTCTAGAAAAGTCAAATTCCCGCAATCAGCTACGAAACTAGGAAAATCCAAACTAAGTGAATTGTTCCCTAGATTGAGGTGTCTTAAAAATGGCATGGCTGAAAATTGGGACCAATCAGGAGAGTTCAATTTGTTCCAGCCAAGGTCTAAGTACCACAATTTTTTAAGATTGCTAATTTGGGTAGAGATGGTACCATTGAGATTGTTGTTGAACAAACTGAGATATTGAAGCTCCGTCAATCGCCCTAGCACCGGCGGTATGTTGCCTCCAAAAGAATTGTTGCTCAAATCCAGGAGAATGAGCTTCGACAGGTTACTAATGGCAGAAGGTATTGGTCCACTGAGACTGTTATTCTTGACATCGAAGCGTGTGAGATTTAAAAATTGTGTGAAATCGAATTGGCTGAGTGTTCCAGTGATGTTAGCACTGAAGAGGTTTACTTCAGAGACCATGCCAGTGCTGTCACAAGCAATGGAAGTCCAGTTGCAGAGATTGTTGATGTTTGCTGTTGACCAAGAGTTGAGAGAAACTGGAGAGAAAAGCAAGGTGTTCTTCCATTGGATGAGGGCTTCGGCTTGTGTTCTTGGTGAAGAGGTAATCTTCAATGGAAGTAAGGAAAGGAAGAGAAGATGGAAACTAAAAATGGAAAGTTTTTGAGGACTTGACATGCTTAGTTAGTAATCAAGTTCTATATCTGTTTCACTGCTCTTGATTAACTCTCTTTTTATTGCAGGTACTCGTTCCGATCTCTGCATATAATATATAAGTAAAATTTCATTTCATTGGTCACAGTCTAACATATAGTTTTCCCGGTAGTTATCACAGACTGATCTAAGCAAAGTTTGTCTGAATTTAAATTTGATGTGAAAGTTGCTATCAAGAGAAGTAAATTAGTGCATGGTCTAGCCGTATGATTTGACTAATAGTACTTGTGAAATTAAACTATGTTCATTACAACATAAATTATGATTCAAACAGTTGACTTTGAACATGTTAACTACCATTTGTCTGTAATTTATTATCCTCTTACGCTGTTCAAAATGAAGCCTATTTGAACTTTTGACCTCGCAGTCTAATTTTCAGCTTCCACGAGGTTTGATCAATTGTCTTTTACTCTAGTTTACAGGGAAAAAACATGGACAGCATGTCTTTTTTCTTTACTTATTTTCCTTTTGGTAAGTATTGTTATATTCATTTGGTCTTAATGCCATGTTCAACGACTTGAGGCTATCCTATCTTTCTGCATTTCCATATTTATTTTACCATACTGCCGGCAGGAATCCAAGCTAATATTAATCTAACAGTTATTAGCCAATTATTATCCATTCCATAGAAATGCCTCACATGAATTATACCTATGATGGTGAATAACGGGTAATTTGCAACGAACTGTTTGACTTTCTAGCATAAATAATCATATATAAAGCATTTGCATATGGGAAGAGAGGGAATGTATTAATACAACGTACTTTACTATTTAATATGTTAAATATTAAAGTACAGTATTCACCTCTCTTTTGTTCCGATCGAAGTTTATTTAACTTTTTTTTTTAGAAATTATACAAAAGGCCTTTCTCCTCGAACTTTCTAGATGATGTCCCATTTCTTCTTTCATTGATTATATTAATTAATTATTATTATAAATATTCATTAATGTTATTTATATTTAAATTTGGATATAGATTGGATTAGATTAAAATTAAAATTTAAACCATCCATTTAATCTCTCAATATTATCTTCATTTTGTAAATTCTATACATATAAGAGGTTATTAGCCTATAAATAAGCTTATCACTTCATTTGTAAATACACACTTAAATATATAAAATCTTCTTAATCCTTTTAAATACTTTCTCTATTCGTTGTTTTTTTAAATTATATTTCATAACATGTTATCAGCACGATTATCTAATCTTTTCAGTTTTAGTATTATTTGGTTTTCATCTTCAAAAGGATTTCAATGACTAGGTTTTAATTTTTAGTTTTAGCAAATCAGGTAAAGTGTTGGTATTATTTTGTTTTTATTATCTCCAAGCTTCAAAAAGATTTTAATGGTAAGTTTTTAATTTTTGGTTATAGCAAATCAGATAAGTGACTTGATATCTCTTTGGTGTTTTCATTTTCTAAAAATCAAACTTACTATGAATTTTGCTGTCATGTATTATATATTATATTTTGTATTTTAATTGAAAAGTGAATTTGCTATTATATAACTACTAATGAAAAATCAAATCCGTTCATTCCTTGAAATGAATGCTACATCTTTTAACAATTATAGTTACAAACATAATAGAGGTCGTTATAATAATTTACATTAATTACTATTATAATTTTAAGAATAATTTTATCCAGTAGAAGTGGATGTATAACTTTACCGACTAAGATGATTTTAACCATTACCTAGTGGATATAACACATTAAGATGTTGCTGATTTTCTTGTCCAACCTAAAGGAGGTATTGATCACCTAATCGATTATGCAAATATCTAAGAATGAAATTTTTTAATAATTTGTTAGTATATTTTAGTAGTACAACTCTATTATGAAGATGATTTTATATATTCTCATTATATTTAAATGATATTTTTTAATTATGTGTTTTGATTAGTAAATTATATATTTATTGATCTCTTATGTCAACTTGTAAGTTTCTTATTATGTATCTTATCGTATTGAAGAAAAATATTGATATTTATCTTGTTGGATCCAAGATCAATGATGAAGATATATGTTTAATAGATAGTACTACAACGCACACTATATTTAAAAATAAGAAATATTTTCTCACTTGACAATGAAAGAAGTTAATGTCAATACAATATCTAGTAGTATAAGATTAATTAAAAGCTCCGAACGAGCCAATGTCAATACTACCCAAAGGAACAAAGTTTATAATAGATGATGCACTATTTTCTACTAAGTATCAAAGAAACTTATTAAGTTTTAAATATGTTCATCTGAATGGATTTCATATTAAGACAACGAATGAAAGAGACATTGAATAACTTTATGTTACATCTATTATTTTAGGTAAAAAGTGTGTATTGAAAAAATTACCGCCATGTCATCTAGAATGTACTATACAAAAATTAGAATAATTGAAACTTATGCTATAGTAAATTAGAAGTTTACTAATAATTTTAATATTTAAAATGATTGGTTAGATCATCTAGAATCAATAATGATGCAAAAAATTATTTAAAGTTAATGCGATCATCTATTTAAAAACTAAAAGATTTTTCAATCTAATAAAATACTTATGTGTCCCCAATGTTCTTGAAAGTAAAGAAAGAGAATACTCCCATATGCTTGCAGACGACGTCACAAGTCATCCTCCTCCTCATCATCATCATTGCTCTCTAAGCTCGCAGGAGGATCTGCTAAATGATAAAAGCTAAATAAGAAAAAAGAAAAAAAACAAACTAATGGGAAAATCTAAATAAATAAAATAATAACTTTAAAGAAACAAAGTTTTGAATGCTTGGGTTGTCTCTCAAGAAGTGTTTTTTTATAGTCATTAACTTGACTATTTCACCCTTTCTTTCACTTCTTCACCCACCAAGTAAGGTTTGAAGTTTTGCATATTGACCATGTTTGCTCCAATATCCTCCATCAAGGGTCGTAGCCTCAACCATTTAATTAGCAAAAATTGTAATTGCTCTAAGTTGCTATAGTGTATCAAATTTGGCAAGCATTTTGACCACTTTCCAGGGTAAACTAGGTGAAGTATAACATGAAGATTGTACCGTTTTCTCTTAATTTTCTAATAGTTCAAGAATCATCTTATTTAGAGTTCGGTAGAGAAAGGTACAGTCAAAATACGAAGACATGTGCAGTGGAAGTCTACACCACAAAATTACTTTCTTTTTTGCATTGAAAGTCTTTCTTCACTAAATACCTACAAGAACACAAATAAGTTAATAACAACCTATCTTAATCACATTAACACCAATTTTAAGCATAAATTAACTAAGATTAGATTGACTCACCTAAATTAATTAACTTAAAGTAATTTAGATAAAACCTATTAATTTCTATGTATTACTATAAGAACTAATCTAAATTATTATCAAAATTAAGCTCAAATAACTCTATATCATAGAGTTATCATGCCCTTAAACTTAAGATTTTGTTAGTCCTTAAGCAAAACATAGAAAAGAAACTAACCTACAAAGAACAATTTCAGATAGTAAAAACAAAATGGATAAAACAACTGCTAAAGATAAAGTACACTAACTCAATGATTTCTCATAATTTTCTCAAAAGTATGTTTATCAATCTTCAACTTAAGGAGAAATATAGACATCATTTAAATTCATGTTTCAATTCTAATACAAGCACATTCTCGAATGGATTTCCACGTGTGTGTGTGAAATCTTTTACCAAGAATATCATGATATACGGATGAGTTTATGCCAATTAAAATTTCAAATTAGTACTAGAACTCCATAAATTTGTCTTTCATCTCTCTCTCTCTATTAGTGTAGACTAACACAAAGCTAGAGATTAATAGGACTTTATAAAGCTTGTAATGTATGACTAGGGTTAAGATAGGATAAAGAATATAATATGGCTTAAATCACCCTAAGGACATAATTATTCTAGGACTTATAAAGTGCTTTATTTTCATTCTCCTTATACACCCTCTTTCTTCACTTTTGAACATTTTTCTTAACACTTTTTCTTTTCTTTTTTTTTTCAATTTCACAACTTTACACCCCAAAACTTATTTTCTTTGTATTATAATTAGTGGGGTGATTTTTAATATTTTGAATTGTTTTAAAGCAACTCCACTTTTCTATCTTATTCAACATTTAACTCAATCATATTTCCTAAAACAATATACATGCTTAGGAGTGAGGGTTGCAAATTTGAAAATTTTATTTTAAGGTTAGGCTTATTATTATGTAGTTAAACAGTTCAAAGATGGCCTAAATCATCTCCTTAACTAAGTATTGCCTACGATTTTACCTCAAGAAAGTATCAAGCAAATTCTAGAATTCATGACATAATCTAAATTTTATATCAACATAAATTCTCTCTATATATTCACAGTAATTCAAAGGAAAAGATAAAGTGCTCAAAAATTGTGGAAATCACTTCTTAACAATGATACTCAACAAAAGAATTAGCATGAATCCAAACAAAAACCTTATTAACCAAACACTAAGAATTCAAGACAACTAGTAAGCATCATTAGATAGCGAAATCATTGAAAAAAATTGGCATAACTTTACTCTAGATTCCTAAAATTCAAGCAAATAATACATTAAATTATCAACTAATCCTAATTATTTAAAAATCTAGATAAACATACAAATAAAACTAAATAAAAAAACTTCCACAAAATATTTACCTCCAAAAAATAAATAAATTCATCCACCTAAACTTAAACTAAATGTTGTCCTCGATGTTAGAAAAAAATAAAAGAAAGGTAAAGAATACCTCCCTGATGGTTAAATGAATTTGGTGAAGCTCTAATCTTCATCGTCCTCTGCCTCATTGTCCTTTACCTTATTGGCACACTTAGGAGGATTAGGTGTTGGTGGAAAAGTAGCCATGTCCATTCTCATAAAAGTACTATAAGCTTGAAACATGTGGTCCATATGTTAATTACATTAGGTTTGATAAGTCATGTTGCTCAAACTGGTGCCTAAGTTGATCAACTAGGATCTCAAGGTTATCAATTCTCTGACTCATTGATAG